ACAGTGGCATGATCTCAGCTCACTGTAACCTCCGCCTCCCAGGTTCAAGCAATTTTTGTGCCTCAGCCACCCAAGTAGCTGGAATTACAGGCTTGTAGCACCATGCCTGGCTGATTTTTGTATTTTTAGTAGAGACAGGGTTTTACTCTGTTGGCCAGGCTGGTCTTGAGAACTCCTGGCCTCAAGTCATCTGCCCGCCTTGGCCTCCCAAAGTACTAGTTTTATAGACGTGAGCCACCACACCAGACCTTCTACTAGATTTTCAATGAATTTATTTCCGTTTTTGTATTCCCAAGGCTGAGAGATGAAGATGGCCTTATATGTATATCCTTTGGTCACATAACAGCTAGCAATGTCAGGTCTGCTGGTGGGTTTGGTGGTGACCCATGATTAAACATTGTGAGCCATGGGGGAAGAGAAGCTGGGAGTCGTAGATCTGTCTCAGACATAGATTGCATGACCAGGGCCCAGAGCAGGAAGATTCCCTCTATCACCCTGGCTCTTTCTGCCTTATGAGGACTGAGGAACGGATTTTGCTTGAGGTAATTTAAGTTCTCTGGCGTGTTCACGTAAAGGCTCAGGAACTTTGTGATTCCTGATTTACTCCATGAAAAATACTGCAAGTTTTATTAGTCCTTTCAGAGAGCTCTGAATATTAAGTAAAACAAGCCATTTTTAAAAACAAGGCGTAGCAGCCGGACTTGGTGGCTCACGCCTGTAATCCCAGCACTTTGGGAGGCCAAGGCTGGCAGATCACAAGGTCAGGAGTTTAAGACTATCCTGGCTAACATGATGAAACCCTGTCTCTACTAAAAATACAAAAAAAGTTAGCCAGGCATGGTGGTGGGCGCCTGTAGTCCCAGCTACTTGGGAGGCTGGAACAGGAGAATTGCTTGGACCCGGGAGGTGGAGGTTGCAGGAAAAAAAAAAAAAGCCGAAGCATTTGTCTGAGCTAGGCTTGGCTTCCCACACTGCCATTGCTGCCCTCCACCTTCCTGATGTCACTCACACATGTTTGGTTTTTGGGACAATTAGGTGCAGTCTGCAGAAGCTGGTGGATAAATTTTTTTTTTTTTTTTGGTCAGCCTAGAGTAAAGATTATTTGAATGACTATATCCTTGAACTTTTTTGCCAGGAGACTGGACGACAATATTCGAACTGTTGTAAGAGGTCAGACGAATGTGGGGCAGGATGGACGGCAAGTAAGTAACTTATTTCCCTGTATTACCTGTATTCTCCCAGCAGCCAGATGACCAGAACGTTGATGTGCCTTCCTGCAGCGCACTTTCTGATTGATGGTTTCACACACGCAGCAGGACAGGACAGGCAAGCAGGCACCCAGAGCAGCCCTGTGCTGTCACTTAGTGTCCACTGGACCAGGATCATATCCTGTGGCACAGCTCACTCGGGGCCAGGGGTCTGGAGGCCAGATGAGAACCCTGGAGTTTTCTTGTCTTTCTCTTTAGTGCCGGATAGCTCCTTTATTTTGTGGGCTATGGCTAAATGAGGTTGCTGCATTTGTCAGCTAAGTTGTTGGCATTTAGGTATTACTTTTGTGGCTGCAAAAGATAGTAACCCGACATAGTTATGATCCCTTGCACCTCACTTTGCCAGCAGGCAGTTAACTCAAGAATCATTTAAAAATTTTACAAGTTGACCTGGCACAGTGGCTTACTCTTGTAATCCTAGCACGTTGGGAGGCTGAAGCAGGTGGATCACTTGAGGCCAGGAGTTCGAGACCAGTCTGGCCGACATGGCAAAACCCTGTCTCTACTAAAAATACAAAAATTAGCCGGGTGTGGTTGTGTGCTCCTATAATCCCGGCTACTTGGAAAGCTGAGGCGTGAGAGTCACTTGAACCTGGGTCAGGGAGGTTACAGTGAGCCAAGATCGCACCACTGCACTCCAGCCTGGATGATGGAGTGAGACTCTGTCTCAAAAAAAAAAAAATGTTTTGTAACTCTTACTGGATCTAGTTAAGGAGGGCTGTTTGAAGGGAAGCAAGTGTTTAGGGAGGAGATATTCTTCAATCATTGAGGGGCCAGATGTTATTTGTCAGCCATTTTCTTTTTTCCTTGATTCTGTTCTTCTGTGGAGGCATTGTATTTCAGAAATTGCTGTTGTTGTAGAAACACTGCTCATGCCTTTCTAGTCTTCCTCTCTTACCATGTCCGGTCCTCCCTTTTCAGTAATAGTTCAGTTAGGTCAGGAGTGCACCTTTACAGTCGCTTCAGTTCTGTTATTTCTCCTCTTGGACATTTTTTAGGACAGCTAATTTCTAAAATTACTCATGATGCTGCCCAGATTTGGAGTGGGAGGAGGGTATAATCCTCTGCTGAAATTTCCAGATCTCTGATGTTTCTGTTTCCTCTGCTAGTGGCTTACAGATGTTAGGAGTCTCTTTTGAATTTTTAGTTTTACCCGTCTCTCTGTTTTTGCTACGTTATAGCACTTTCTTTTTCCACTTTATCGTCTCTTTCGATTTGATAGCCATTTCCTTTGGCCTGTTTGTAAGGAGTTGGCCTTGTCATCATCAGAATCTGTGTGTAGGCACATTAGGTTCCTGAAACTCTTCCTGTTTTCTGGACTCTGGTGTGGGTTTTAGTCCTCATTTCCTCGTTTTTGTCTGTTGAGGTATGCTTCGTGAAGCTTGGCTTCTTTGGCAGATGAGCCCCATGTAATGGGACCTTCAGAGGAGTCATACTGAGTGACAGGGTAGCCTCAAGTATTCCAGCTGCATTCTGCTGCTTCAGCTTCCTGATAGATGTTTGATTGTGTTGTCTGCCTCTTCAGACACCTCATCAGCTCTGGCTACCAAATGAAATCCAAGGCCAGGCATGGTGGCTCACGCCTGCAATCTCAACACTTTGAGAGGCTGAGGCAGGGAGATCACTTGATCCCAGGAGTTCAAGACCAGCCTGGGCAACATGACGAAGCCCCACCTCTACAAACAGTACAAAATTAGCTGGGCATGGTGGTGGCCTGTGCCTATAGTCCCAGCTACTAGGAGGCTGAGGCGGGAAGATCAACGGAATCAAGGAATTCGTGGCTGCAGTGAGCCATGATTGCACCACTGCATTCCAGCCTGGGAATCCCAGTGAGACTCTGTTTCAAAAAAAGAAAAGAAAAGAAAGAAATCCAAATTCCTTTGCTTGGCATTGAAAATTTTGGTCTCCATTTCCAGTTTTGTCTCCCGTTGTGTTCTGTCTATATTGAAGACGTCGTGCTCTACCAGCATGCCTGTCCGTTGTGTTCTGTGTCTACTGAAGACGTCGTGCTCTACAACAATGCCTGTCCATGTGTTCTGTCTATACTGAAGACTGTGCTCTACCAGCATGCCTGTCTGTTGTGTTCCGTCTGTGCTGAAGATTGTGCTCTACCAGCATGCCTGTCTGTTGTGTTCTGTCTGTGCTGAAGACGTCATGCTCTACAACAATGCCTGTCCATTGTGTTCTGTCTGTGCTGAAGATGTTGTGCTCTACCAGCATGCCTGTGCTCTCTGGGCCTGTGCTTCCATACTGCTTTGTGCTTGAAATGCTTTTTCTCCTATTTCTTTCAGCAGCTGCATTTCCAAATCTTACCCATCCAAGGGCCAGCCCAGATACTAGTTTCTTGATGATATTTTCTGTTTATCTCATCTGAATGCACCAAGGAATCAGAATTTTGAACCAGAAAGGGTTCGAAACTCATCTGGGCCACTCCCCTCGTTTTACAGAGGAGAAAATGGATTCCAGTATCACTTGATATCCTTTCTCTCATAAATCCCACAGCCCTATTCTTGTACTTTTCATTTGGCTTTGGGGTCTCCCTTGACTTAATAGAGAACAAGTCTCATCCCTTTGATGTTTATAAGCTCCGTGAGGGTGAGAACTATACCTTTGTTATCTTTATTTCTCTACACATAGTCCACATGCAGTAACATTTTATTCAACTGAGCTGAGTGCAATGGCCCATGTTTGTAATCCCAACACTTTGGGATTCCTAGGTGGGAGGATTGCTTGAGGTCAGGAGATTCAGACCAGCCTGGGCAACATAGTGATACCTGTCTCTACAAAAAAGTAAAAGAATAAGCTGGGTATGGTGGTACAAGCTTCAGTGAGCTGAAATGGCGCCACTGTACTCTGACCTGGGTGACGGAGTGAGATCCCCATCTCCAAAAGCAACAGCAAAACCCCACAACATTTTATTCAACTGTATTGAATATTTTATCTGCTTAAGATTGTTTATTAATTATAAATAAACAACATTTTATCATAAAAACATTTTGATCAGCAACTGGGTATTCCTTAAAAGTGATTTAAAATTTGTTTTTTTTTTTTTTTTTTCTGAATAGTCCCAACTTACTACTATTCGGAAAAACAACGCCACTGTTCAGTGTGATTCAGCCTACATTTGGAAAGGCTCACTAGAAATCTTAAAATACAGGAGTCTTAGATATTTAAAATTTCAGGAATGTGAAAATAGTGAATGAGTCATCAACATTTTTTGTTGGGTCATGCTGTGTGTAATAGATGTATATCTTGTAGTTATTTATGTTCCAACCTGTGGTTTGGGACTCTTGCAAACTAGCAGCATTGCAGAGTCGGACCCAGAATTAGCCTGCTGGATAGTTGGCATTCTCCACCATCCTGTATTAATAGGTTACAGGTTGCCGCAGCCCAGCAGGTCATATTTCAGAGAGCAAGACCACATTTTCAAGAATGTTTAGATAGCCTTTCAATCTGTGATGGAATTTTGTATTCGTCTCCTTAGAATCCAGACAGAAAGGAAGCCCAGAAGAAATAATTGCTTTTCCTGTCATGCCTCCATCTGTCTTTTCCAGCAGTTTGTAATGCAAACTCAAGCAGAGGCTTTTTTCCACCCTCCCAGGGAGCTCTTGGGTCCTGTCCTTGTCAACTCGTAGGGATGAAAGCCTTGCTCTCCAGCCCTGACTGGCTGGCGGTTTGCTAAAAGGAGTCTATTAGACTGGCACAGACTTGGTAGAATTACGGATGTTCCAAAATACTGAATTTTATAGGTTGAGGCCCCACGTTCCTGTCCTCCCTGGAACAGAAGAAAAGCTTGCTTTCAGAACTCGTTTCCTGAGCTTCTGAAGCACACTCAGAAGGGAATGGTAGTATGGACAGAAGGAGTTTTCCTTTTACAGATTTAATCTTGATTGTGTGTAATCAGAACTGATGTGCTGCTTTTTAATTTTATTATTATTTTTTTTAGGGACAGGGTCTTGCTCTGTTGCTCTGGAGTGCAGTGGTGCAACCATTGTTCACTGTAACCTTGAACTCCTGGACCCAAGCGATCCTCCACCTTAGCCTCCCAGGTAGCTAGGACTACAGGCATGTGCCAACACAGTTATTTTTTATTTTTTGTAGAGATGGGTTCTTGCTGTGTTGCCTAGGCTGGCCTTGAACTTCTGGCCTCAAGTGATCCTCCTGCCTCGGCCTCCCAAAGTGCTATGAGCCACTGTGCCCAGCCTAGATGTGCTTCTTAATCTGTAAATAAGGCGAAAGTGTTTACTTCATATTCATGGTGTCTTAAATGACATTTTTAGCAGAAAAGTTCTTTTGGAAAAGCAGTGTTTTTGACTCAAAAATTATTTGGAGATAAGGAATGATTTAAATATTGAAAACATATAGGTCATTTCTTGAGCTTCTTGAAGTTTCCAAAATACCGGCAGCTTCGTTAACATTCTGCTAAATGTCTGGAGAGTCTTTACTTTTTGACCACCTCCTTTGTGGACCAGCTTGAACTGGTCTAGTCTATGACCTCTTCTAGCCAGACGGTGATGCTCTTACAAAGTTTACATGGCACTGAATCCTGTCCATTTTTCTCTGTTGAAATCATCAGTAAGAAGCTTTAATTAAATGCCCACATGTTTGAAATTTTGTGGGTGAGTCAGTTCAACAAGTACATGATGTGATATGCTATGAAATTTATGCAGCTTCCCAAGAATTAAATTGGATGTTTTGAATGTGGGTGGAAAGAGAGGTGAATACCGCAGCGGGTTAGAGAAAGAAAAAGCTGGCAATATGAAATTTCAAGCATGGCCAAATGTTGACCAGTTGTCAGTAAGCTCTCAGAATCATAGGAGAGGTCAGCTACCGAGTTTCTGTCTCTTGAGTGGAGGGCTGCAGCATAACTGCTTCTTTGATCAGAACACGAGTAAGGTTTGGGAGAAGAGAATTATTACAAGTCATCCCCTCTT